CTCTTCTTCACTCCAGCCAGGCGGACGGACACCACAGCCAACAGATGCAGTAAGGCGATTACGCTTCATATCCCACTTCTGAGTGAAACGCAGATGAAATAATAAACTTATACACCTTACGAATAATCACAGCTATTTATTAAAGAAATATATTTTTTACACAATCGGGTAGAGTTTCGACCTATCTCGTATACAACGGCCAAATGTGTCACAAAATGAGCGGTTCGACTATTTATACCCTGCGGCCGTTGGGATGTGACGTCACTAACTGGCTTGACTAACAATCTCGGCATTGGCGTGGCATTGGCTTGGCTTGGCTTAGCTTGGCGTGGCTGGACACGTGGCGTGGCGTTACACGTGTGTAAGTGAGGTAACCGGAGGCTCAATCCATCCCATTCCAGTCTCTAAATCTTCAGATCCCTAATCCCAAAAGGCCGGCAACTCACTCGCAAATCTTCTGTTGTTACAAGTGTTCATGGGTGGCGTAGATTGCTTAATATCAGGTAATCCGTCGACCGAAGACATAAAAAAAAGTTTACTAATCCTTTGGGCTATGTCAATCACTTTATTTCTCTGTCGGATCGGATAACCAGCACGTGTATTTTAATTAATAAACGTGAGTAGATAATATATAATTTGCGAAATGTATAATTATTAAATTAGAGGCGTGGTTATACACCTAAGTATATCAGATATATTATCTAGATTAAGATAAGTATTATACATTATAATAGATATGTATTGACTGCCTACTAGGTAGCAACTGCTAAGTTGATAAATAAGCCCCAATGATTTGGTCAGATAAACTCTATGGGCATTTTCCAGTAGTATGAAATTATAAGTTGTTATTATTTCTTTTATGGGTGGAAAATCATCCAATGGCGTCTTTACCTCCGGTAGAGCCATAAACAACTCTTACTGACTAAAAAATTCATCGTGCGATTGCGTTCAAAAGTTGCGATTCCAACCGCATCCTTTTGTTTAAAGGGGGATAAGTTTCCAATGATTTCGATTCTTCCGTCCTGACTGAGGCGAGAGGGAGTGTCAGACTCTTACTGACTAAAAACACCTCGTTCCTTTTCTTTTCCGAGACCAGCCTAGTTACATTATTGCGAAAATACGGCCCTTTTTGATGGGGGAAGATCATTAAGTGACTTCTTCCGCCCAGGGTGAAGCGAGAGGAAGTGTCAGAATTACTGACTAAAAACCCCCGTTTCTCCTCCAGCTCCGATCTGAACTACGGTATGATATTTCACATCCACAACTACGTCACCGATATTTTCCTTGATAATAATATTTTTACACATATGTATGTGTCATACATTTATATTATTATTACATACTAGCTCTTGTCCGCAGCTTCGCTCCCGTCATTTGACTATCTACCCTACTGTACCTACCCTACCGTCTCTACCTACCCTACCTACTCTATCCTATCCTATGACTTTCTCCCAGTTCTTAGCTACCTTCCTACAAATTTTCAGCCAAATCGGTTCAGCCGTTCTTGAGTTATAAATAGTGTTACTAACATGACTTTCTTTTATACATATACTAGCTCTTACCCGCGGCGTCGCACGCGTCATTTGACTACCTACCCTGCTTTACCTACCCTACTATATCTACCCTACTCTACCTACCCTAGCCTACCTACCCTACTCTACCTACCCTAATCTACCTACCCTACTCTACCTACCCTACTCTACCTACCCTAGTCTTCCTACCCTACTCTACCTACCCTACTCTACCTACCCTACTCTACCTACCCTACTCTACCTACCCTAGTCTTCCTACCCTACTCAACCTACCCTACTCTACCTACCCTACTCTACCTACCCTACTCTATATACCCTACTCTACCTACCCTACTCTATATACCCTACTCTACCTACCCTACTCTATATACCCTACTCTACCTACCCTACTCTATATACCCTACTCTACCTACCCTACTCTATATACCCTACTCTACCTACCCTATTCTATATACCCTACTCTACCTACTCTATCCTATTCTATGTCCTTTTCCTGGCTCTAAACTACCTCCCTGCCAATTTTCAGCTAAATCGGTTCAGCCGTTCTTGAGTTATAAGTGGTGTAACTAACACGACTTTCTCTTTTTTATATAGATATATAGATTTTCAAAATCATAAAATTGTAACTCTCTATTATTGGATAAGCGACGTAAAGGGGCGTGGTTTATTCTGAGTTATAGATTAGTTAGCACAATGAAACTTTCCTAAGGATATTAATTCGATTGGCTGATTAACTGATAGTGTATCAGAATTTCGATCATGCGTATAATGATTAAATAATGTCAATAGCCTAGGTGATGAAGGTTGGGAATCAAGCACATCAATGTAATTGTAATCTTAATCAGCAATTCTTACAAAGGAACTGCGTCATTTTTAGTCAGTAATTCTAACCTTTTTACACTGATACTGATGGCATAGTCGCTAATTGAAACTAATTGCTTTTAATTCATCAAACCCCAAGTGAACGCTGGCGTTCGCGCACCTAATATATTTTTTTATGTAGGTAATAGGTCGGCAAACGAGCAGACGGATTACCTTATGGTAAGCAATCAGCGCCGCTCATGGACACCCACAACGGAGGAGTTACGAGTGCGTTGCCGACCTTTTAGAAATTAGGGATTTGAAGATTTAGGGATTGAGGAGGGATTGGGGGAGGGGAAGGATTGGGCCTCCGGTAACCTCACTCACACGGCGAAACACAACGCTGTGGTTGTTTCACGCGGGTTTTCTGTGAGGCCGTGGTAGGTATCACTCCGGTCAAGCCGACCCATTCGTGCCGAAGCATGGCCCTCCCACACTTAAAGTTGTGTCTATCTTAAAAGTGTAATATATTTCTATTGAGTCTCATATTACCACGTCCAATCGTGATTTAGGTTGAGTGACTAGCGACCTGCCCTGGCTTTGCACGTCAGCAATGTGATACTTAATTACTCCACTATATAATGGATGTTATTATACACTTAAACTTTCCTCTTCAATCCCTCTGTCTATTTATAAAAAAAACCGCATCAAAATTCGTTGGGAAGGTTTAAAGATTTAAGCATACATAAGGATATAGGGACAGAGAAAGCGACTTAGTTTTATACTATGTATGTGGTGATATAAATAATAGGTAATAATAAGAACGCCTTTAAACCTTCAATAGTTGGCTGACTCAATTAAGATAGTTGAAGAATGTGTCTAAACAATGATTTCATACAAGGAAAATTAAAACGGTTTTTACATAGTTACCAACAAACAAAAACAAGAGAAAATGTCTTCTGTACATAAATATAGGTAAAGCGCTTTCAAATGATACCAAACACGGCATATTATTATATATCTTATTTTTTTTACTCCGAATGTTTTTTCCGCTAGAGGACGCCACATTAGATTTTGGCATACCCAATATAGCCTATAACCAGCGGAGAATTAAGACGTTTCTAATGATATGTTATTTGTCAAATTCTGATAAGTAGTTTAGAAGTTACGAGCAACATACATACATACATACATAGCCTGTTAAAATCATAACCCTCCTTTTGCTTTGGCGTAGTCGGGAAAAAAGTTAATACGTCATAAATAATCACTACACTAGTATAAAACAAAGTCGCTTTCTCTGTCCCTATAGCATACATAATGCTTAAATTTTCAAAACTACGAAACGGATTTTGATGTGACGAGATACTCGACTAGTTTCAAGCCATGCTAGAGGCCCATATTCATGAGCTGCATTCCGCGACACGCGACTCGGCGACTGTCGCGCTGCTACTCGACAGTATAAATATAATAAATGATAAACAAATTATTTGCCATAATAACATTTTATATTATAGGTTGTGGGGGCAAACTTAATAAGGTAAAGCCGCCTCGACCTAGAGAAGAAGAGGAAACGGGGGGTATTGTTAGTCAGTAAGGGCCCGACACTCCCTCTCGCCTCGCACTGAGCGAGAGAAGCCGTTTCAGATCTTCCCCTTACAAAAAACCCAATTTGAAGAAATGTTTTAGATTCAGTGATGTTTAAGTGATAATTTTCTTAAAAAAAGAAGGACGTTACAGAAAAATCTGTTTTGTATCTTTGCACCTAATCTGCTAAACTGATGCGCGGATTTAAATGAAATGTTTTTTTTCTTCTTTAAACAAGGACAACTAAAAGGATAGGTATGTGTTTTAAAGTTTACAGCTTTGCCTGTCTTAACAAAATTGATAACAGGTAAAGGATAATAGAAATTACTTCGACAGCATCTTAATTAAAAAATCTATTAAAACCTCGAACATTCCATAAACTCAGTTTTATTAAATGTTATTCACAGTGTCATTGTTTACAAAAGAATTAGTCATAAGTTGTAAAGTTTATTGTAACTACGAGATAAATAAATTGACTGTTAGATAAAAAATACCGCCTTTCTAATTGCAGATGTAAAAACGTCATAAAAATATAAAAAATACTCTCTGTGACGTAATTTTTCTGTTTGGAAAATCATTTTTGAAAAAAGATAACACAATCAATTTTACTGAATAAAAAATAAGTGGTTTAATAGGCAGCTAAGCAAAAAAAAACCTTCAAAGGTTCCATATTTACATTTTGAAGTATGGAACACAAAACAAAGATGGCGGTCTTTCTATTCATAGGTGTAAAATGTTAATAATAGTCAAGACCGCGTTTATAAATAAACAACCCATACATAATTAATGATAAAAAATAAATTATTTATAAACGAATATGTTTTACTGCACGATTTGTCCCGCAGTGAACAGCTGATTAAATCATAATATTTTTATCATTTGACCTATTTATATTGACACGAAAACTCGTAGGAAAAGTACGCGGCCGCATAATTAATATCTGCTAACTAAAAATACAAATCTACAATTCGAAAATAGTTTATAAATAGTAAACAAACAGTTTCGAACGACAATTTCTGGCAACAGACCAAACTGTTGACAAGTACAACACAACAAATTGAAAAACAAAACATGAAAACTCACTGTTTATAAAAACACTAAATTAAAAAAACAACACAAATTGTTCTACGGGAAAATAACACTGTTTGACAGTTCACAGGATAAATGGCGGGAATGCACTATGGTCGTGTTTTTTAATGGCGTCACGTCAACGCGTGTGTGCTCTTTCGCGCGCGATTCTCGACTGACGTTGTTATTGTGTGGTTGTAAACATTATCTGTGCTGCGATATGATAATTAAACTCGTATGGTATCGCTAAAGTTTTCGTTACTCGATTATTTATTTGTTATGCGGATTATGACAATTGTATTTAGCATATTATATGTATATATTTTTTTATTTGGCACTGTCAATGTTTAGTTAAGCGAGGTCGACGTCGTTATGTAGATTTTTTTTATATTTCTGTAAATAAAATTATTTCAATGCCAAATGGATCAGTGTTGTAGTTTTTGGAAATGCCCCTTGTATTTCGCGTTCGCAGCTGTTACTTTCAGCTGCTCAGTACCTAACTGATTGGGCAAGATTTTTGTAGTTATTATTTTTACAGTCTAATGTGAAATTTGGTTCAAACAAACTGACATCACACATACCTAATAGTTATAATGTACTTGCTATTTACTTACGATTTCGCCCATTTGTAATCTACAAGGTTTCTCTGAAGTCAATCTCTATCTAAGCCAATCAATCGATTTCCGATATAAAAATTAGTTTTAAATACTTCCTGAAAAGTGTACCTACTTTTTGTAACGTAATTGTAATTGATATGGGTTTGTTTTTTATGGGATACATCCTGCCACACACATCTAACCCTACATCTCAAAAAGGGTGGGTGAGGCATGCTTCGGCACAAATGGATCGGCTCGACCAATACCACGGCCTCGCAGAAAACCGGCGTGAAACAACCGCAGCGTTGTGTTTCGCCGTGTGGGTTACCGATGGCCTCACCCCTCCCCTCCCCTAATCCCTTAATCTCAAAAATGATTTTCCATTATATATCTCATATAAAAAATTCTCGTGTAACAATGTCAGTGACGTAAGGTACTGACATTATTACAATGTTACGAACTCCGAAACGTCGTGACTGATTTTAGCAAATTTCATAAACATTACATTACATTACATTCTGTAGGTCTGAGTATCGGCTACTGGCTATTATTCATACCCCTTAGTAATAAAGGCTGTTCAACTGAAACATTTTTTTTTTGAAATAATTTATATGGCAAAGCAACGTTTGCTGGGTCATCTAGTCTATCTACAAATGGATGAATGATGTCCAGAGCTATGTGTCACTTGTCACTTGTCTTGGCTTTATCTTGATTGCACTGCGGTGTACAATGTCGTGACCTGACGTGAGCGAACACAGACATGTTATTATATAGAATAAATATGTCTATCTGTCTGTCTAGTTAAGCTAACATTGTTCTGGATACATTAAAGAAGGTGTTTTTTCCAAAAAACTTTAGTGTTAGCTTGTTTTTCATCAAAATTAACTTTATCAGCGTATAAGTAGCCACTGCTGAGCAAGTTCTCACAAGGAAAAGGTGAGCATTATTCACCACGCTTGCTCAAGGTGGATTGGCGATTTCAAACTAATTAGGTATTAGAAATTATAAGTCCGGGTTTCCTCACGATGTTAACCTTCACCGTATGTCAGATAATCATAGAAAGTTCATATAACTCGGAAACGTGACATTGGTAGTCGCTAAGTTTTGAGCCCGCTTCCTCATACATGAAAAGCGACGGTTTTCTTGGTTTGGCCAAAAAAATAAATTAGTCTTTTAGATGCTTCTCAAGGTTGCTAGTATAAGCAGAGTAATGTATCGCAGTAAGGAGCGGGATGGTTTTTAGTCTGACACTCCTTCTTGCCCCACAGCAAGCAGGATGTCTTTCGCGTCCCAAAAAGAGTCTAAGAGTGCTAGTCCGAAACAACTTGGTTTTCCATGCAATGCTCTAAAATCTAATATAAACGTTTACAAAATATTCGGATCAATGAAGTGTTTGAAAACAGCTTCTTGCGTGATTGTGTGTGTGAAACAGCTAAGCTTCGGCGTGAATCATTTGCGTTGTGTTTCAGTGTGTGATTGAGGTTACCGGAGGCCCTCCCGCCCTTAAATTCTCAATCCCTAAATCTCCTGTAGCCCACAAAAGGCCGGCACCGCACTTGTAGTAATTCCTTTGGTATTACGAGTGTCCATGGGCGGTGCTTACCATCAGGTAATCTGTCTGCTAATTTGCACTACAATCCCATAAAAAAAAACAATCTAAATACGAATATTTTGGATTGAGATCAGCTATTGATTTCGGCTGATTTGCTGGACATCACTGGTATTGGATGAAGGAAAATTTTATAAGGAAAACTAGGCTCATAATTTAAAATGCCTTAAGCAAGTTTGTGTGTATGTCGCAGCCAGATAGTGGAAGTAGCCACTCCAACAACGAAGGCCTGAATGACTGAGCATAGTTTGATTGAATGGCTAAATTTCTTATTCAGTTGAGGAGAAGGAGAAGGATAAAAATGTTAGCTTAACTAGACAGATGGATAGATTTATCGCTATTGCAAATCAACAATTACTCAAATTGTACTCCGATTAAAGGACTTGATTGAACAGCTATTTTAACCTGTCCTATTCATCTTTTTTTATCAAAATTATCTATTCCTTTTAAACGGGTGAAACCACAAAAAAATACAGTTAACAAGATTATTTTAATGAAAAGATTTGATAAATAAATCTTTTCATGTATTCACTGATAAATAAGAAATATTTAGTGATCTGTCATATCAAGATGACAACATCTGTCTCTGATAATGAAATCAATGAAAAATGAAGGCTAGACTTGTTTTTTTTGTCAATATTAGCTTTTTAGTGCGGTTTTGCTTGTCGGATTTTAGTTTGCAACGCCAGCGGCCCTCTCGCGCCCCTTTTAACTCAAGGCCATGGTGCAGAGCAAGAGAAACTGGAAAGCCATCTCCTCCTTCTGCGAAGCAATGATCCCCGCAAAGGAGGAGGCCGAGCGTGTGAGGGAACTATCTTCCTCACGTCCCTCGATCATCGATTTCCAGCCCCAGTAATCGTGGTTCTGCGGACGGCTAGCAAGGTTAGCTCGCCGCCATACTAGAACCAAATCCGAACGTGCGTCGCGTAGCGTTCAGCGCGTGCCTTAAGAGCAAACAGACCACCACACATTATGGGGCCATACAGGGTAAATGTTTAGCCGAAGTCGCGGGTCAAGCACTATAAAGTATTAAGGCCTTTCCGAGCGTACGGCGCGTAGCATTCCGCGCACGCCTCAAAGAGCCAATAGACCACCACAGACGAGGCTCTATAGGGCTGATGTTCAGACGGGGTTGCAGGGCAAGCGCAATGAGGCACCGCGACCTCGGCCCAGAGCAGGAGAAGGAACGGGGGTTTTTAGTCAGTAAGAGTCTGACACTCTCTTTCGCCTTACCCTGGGCGAGAGAAGTCATTTGATGGTCTTCTCTCCTCGAAAAAAAGGATAACACAAAATACTTAGGGACCATAATAGAAAACTGATTAACATGAGATTTTTTAGCCTGTTTAACTTGTTTTCTTCATAGCCTAAGTATATAGTTATGAATGATTAACTTAATAAATACAAATAAAATATGGATTTCTAATTATCATTTTATAAGTACCTACTATACTAGCCTGTGTCAAACACAAGTCAAACCAATTAATAATTACTAATAATAATTAGTTTAACCTTCACACTTACATACAATGTTTCTTATTAACTAACTATGTAATTACCTACACTTCTTAATTAGATAACTATTTAAATAAATGAATACTGACCCATAGTATTATAGCGTGGTAATATAGGCCTCATAATTTCTATATCTTTATCTATAATCATCGTCAGACCTCTTACATAATAAAAAGTATAATGATTGTTTTGTCCGCTAGAGGACGCCACATTAGATTTTGTGATACCTACCCCATATAGCCTGTGACTAGCGGACAATGAAGACGTTTCTAATGATATGTCATTTGTCGAATACTGATAAGTAGTTTAGAAGTTACGAGGGGACAGATGAACATACATACATATGTTCATACATAGCCAGTAAAAAAAATCATAACCCTCCTTTTGCTTTGCCGTAGTCGGGTAAAAAGGTAAAAAAAAACGAAAATCCTCCCGTTTCGAAAATCAACGACTCCTCCAGGCTTAGGTGAGACGAGTGGGACGGTCAGACTCTTACTGACTAAAAACCACATCGTTCCTTTTCCTGCACAGAGCCGGGATGCAGTACATTGCAGTCCAGTTGCTGAAGCGATTGCACCCGTAACCCCAGCTGAACATCAACCCTGTTGGACCCCATCTGTGGCGATCTAATTGCCCTGTCCCATCGTTTCTTGTCGCGGAATTCGACGTACCGTGCGCTCGGGTTTGATGCTGGTCAGGTAAAGAGCTACCCTTGCCATTGGCAAACCAATGACGCCATAGAAACAACTGCATTATGAGAAGGAAGGAAAGATGGGCCTCCAGTAACTTAAGAGTTGTTTCACGCCGATATTCTGTGAGCCCGTCCCTTCGTACCGAAGCATGGCTCTGGCATACTTATCTGCGCTCAGTTCTTACAGCCGCTTGTTGTCTGTCAATCACAAAGTTATCGGAAAGTTTTCGTATTAATCCGAGTCTATCGAATCAAAGAAACATGACGTAGGTATTATTAGGAAAAATTTTGATGTCATCTAGCTATGAGTATGTACCTACATTGAAAAAGATAAAAATTGGATTTGTTATCATTAGGGAAATAAAGAGTCTTTTCCTTAAAGGATATAATTATGCCGAATGCATGAGTAGCTCTAGGGTTCATGAGGGTCCTTTTTATGAACGGAGGAAATAATTGAACTTTTCAAATACTCATCTACAACCTGCCTGCCAGGAGAAGAAATTATCCACCACCGACAGGGCCCTATAGGGCTGATGTTCAGCCGGGGTTGCGGAGTAAGCGCAATGAGGCACCGCGACCTCGGCCCAGAGCAGGAGAAGGATTGGGGGTGTTTTTACCCAGTAAGAGTGACTCTCTCTCCCGTCCGGGAGGGAGAAGTCATTTGATGAATGATGAATTTCCCCTCACAAAAAAGAGGTAGAAATTATGGAGTCTCAGGGACTGTTGATGATTCTGTCAGGGTTATGCTGCAGGAAAAAGAACGGATTG